GAGCCATCCCCTACCATTGACACAGCTAAGGGCAGAAAATATTCATAAAGATCAGAAATAGCTACCCGAGGACCATTGTAAGAAGTAGAAACACTAGTTCTGGAATCCAACTAGTCTAATTCAATGTGAACTGCTTTAAATAAGTCTGTGCCGCAAGATTCTTTAAATAAGTAGTTCTGGAATCCAGCTGCAGACTTAGTTTATTTTATTCATAAAGTAGTTGGTGAACTGCTTGGAACAATTTAGGCAGTCTGTTGATTCTTGGCTGAAATTTATATTTAACTAGCTTGGAGCATGTATTTATGCTTTAGCCTTATTAGGCAGTATTGCAAGTTTAGAGTGCTGATTTTTATTGATTTCTCTAAGAGAAGTCTCACATCTAGAGAGTTCCTCTTGCCTAGGTAGCTTAGCCTTGCCCTGTACTCGAATTTACTTCATTCTAGTGACTAGTGCAATGTGTTGACCAGAATGGTTATTGCATTAATTTTAAGTTAGATGTTGCTTAGCATGTATCCTTAGTGTTGTGAAGAAACTCACCTAAAATACATAGGTTAAAGTAAAAACTCGTGTGAGATAGAAGACGAGTACTTTTACATGGTTCAGTGATGTGCATTCTATAAGGGGAACATGCACAGTTATTTACAATCAAAGAACCCTGTCTTGCAATTAGCTTTTTTTTTGTCTTTTAGGTTGAAGGAGAAAACCCTAAGTTACAAGAGTAATATAATTAAAATTTTGCTCTAAGCTCCATGCATAACCTTTTTATCAGACTTTTTAAACAGTTATTTATCTAATATGAGCAGCTTGACAAACAGGACCATCCAATGAGGAAAATTTAGCTTTGAGATGGGATGGGATTGAAACTTGAACTCCATTAATGAACTACAATAAGAGTGTTATACTATTTGAGGTATTTGTTCTTGATACCCAATAAAGATATTGAAATATTTTTTTTGAAATAGAAATACGGTATATGTCATTAAATACGAGCACTAAGAGAGTGTTAACCCGTATACAAAAATATTTACATGTCGATAAAAAACTCAACAAAGTCTCTGAGATCCTCCAAAGAAGATAAAGGATGACCCATAAATAAAACACCTAAGGTGTGGAACCATATGTTTCTAATTATATTTATATCCTCCTCCTCTCTTTAAAAGGCTTTCTTTTTCTCTTTTTCCATACAACCTGAGAAATAGAAAAGGAATGAGGTCACATTTTTTTCACCACACAAATGCCCTTTCAAGTTCAGATCTCATCCCTAACCAAACCAATCATAACCCAACTAATTCCCAGGAACTCATAAGCCATGGTCCAAAAATTGTATGCTATTAATTATCCAAGCAAAATATGATCATAAATGTCATCTGCACTCTTACATAGAAAACAACCGTTCACCATAATTTTACCAATTCTCATTAACTTATCCATATTGAGAATGCAACTTTGCCCAGCCTCCCAAGCAAAGAACACAACTTTGTAAGGTGTCTTTATCTTTTAGATTTTCTGATTATGAAACTTGATCTCAATGGAGTCATTTTTAGTCAGAAAATTATAGAAAGACATAACAGTGAAAGTCCCTGCAGAATTGAGGCTCCAACTGGTTGGTCATCACTCCCATTCAAGGAAATGAAGGCACATGAACTCAGGAGAGTTTCATATTCATCAATTTTCCGGTCGTTAAGATTTCTTATTATCTCCAACAGATATTCACTTATGCCCCATTGCCTTTGAAAGAACTATTGATTGAAATATCCTTATGCTGTGCATTTATAAAAATTTGGAGAAACCTATCTCTGAGCATTTCTTTCCCAAGCCAAGATTCCTTCTAAAAGCTTGTTCTCATCTCATTGCTAACATTCCACCTAATGCATCCCTGAAAATAATGTCTTCCCATGCTTATTCTTTTTCAAATTCGTTTCCTACGCGATCTTAACACCTCTATGAAGTACCAACCTCCATCTGTGGTACCAAATTTTGCCTCTTATCAACTTCTTCCGTAGAGTGCCATTTTTTATCATGAACTGTCAAATCCACTTTCCTTGGAGCATCTAGTTCATCTCTACAACAGATCTTAAGCCCAAACCGCACTGGCACAATGGTCTTTCAACTCTTCCCAAGGTATCAAATGGTACTTTTTTCACTTTTCAAAATTACCTCATAGAAATCTACATCAGATGGCTTCCAATCTCTTCGTAACACTCCTAGAGATAGTCATAAGGGACACATAGTAAACATCAAGAGTAGTCAAAGTGCTTTTAATGAGAGTTAGACGCCCAGATAATAAATTTCTCTTTCACCTTGCAAGTCTCATCTCAAATCTATCCACAGCTAGGTTCCACATCCTCACATCTTTCTAATTAGCTCCCAACAACATTCTGAGGTATTTGATCGGCAAGTCAACCCTTTTACATCTTAAGGGTCTAGTCAACCCAAAATCATATTTCTCATCTCCCAATCTGACCAATTTGAACATAGCAAGGTTAACATTAAGGCCGGAAACAACATGGAAACACAAAAGTATGCATATGAGGTTGAGGAATGCACCTACATCTGGTTTGCAAAACACTAAAGTATCATCTGCAAAAATAAATGAGCTCTAGTCCTCTGAACAAAACCAACTCCCAGGCCCTCAGCCACAATTTATTTACATCTTCAACGACAACTATAAATAGTGGTGGAGATGGTAAATCTCTTTGTCTTAGACCTCTAGAAGTTTTGGAAAAAAAAGATGGACCTCCATTCACCATATTCGCAAAAGATGCAATACTGATACAAGAGTTAATCCACTTAGATCATTTATCTCCAAAACCCAATCTTTTCAACATATAGTCGACGAATCCCTAATTAACACGATCATAGGTTTTCTCCATATTAAGCTTGTATAGGATCCCATCTCCTTTCTGGAAAACCAAATCATCAAGAAATTAAAGCATCTTTACTTTGCATTATTGGTTTTGTTGGCCATTTGAGTCTATTGATTTTGAATATATGTCATAATATCCTTTTGTATGAAAGCTGGTCATGAAGTCTGAGCAAAGATAGAGTTTGCTTGTCTTTTAGGCCTGAAGTTAGAGACTAATCCGGCCACCTCTTAGTTGTATGATTTTTAGCAAAGCTGGCTGCGGATTGTAATATGTAGGTGGATTAATGAAGAGACTTGTCCTTGTGTTGTGAAGGTATACATCAGTGTTGGTGGGTTTTATCCGAGTTTTTGTTTTCTGAACATTGATACGAGGATCTTTAGTATTTCTCTGGTGCTCATAGGATGAATTTAGCGTGCATGACATCAGACCCTATCTTTGTCAAGTTGGAGAACCTAGCAGACCTGACACGATAAGGAAAACAGAATTTTCTTTCAGCAAAATAATGTAGGGACTTGCTATTTCTTTCTCCATGAAATGAAATTGGAAAGTGCTCCTTGCTTCAGGAACTTCTATTTGTTTATGCGAGACTATACTCCTTAATATGCAAATGCAATACCCCGTTTGCATTAACCAAGGTTCTATCTGGGTAGTGTCTCTGCTAATATCATATATTTAAGCATAGTCCCTCAATAATTCTTATCTAGCAGTTAACCTCAATTTTGTGCAATTTTTTGTTTTTATAGTATGTTGCATTTCTGATATCTTTGACTGCTTTTTAATAGTCAGCATATGTTTTGACTGATTATAGTCTTTGGACTCTTTGTATTGTTTGGTCTTCCTGCGAAGATGTGTGAATTAGAATGCAGATGGACTATTCCTCTGGTAATTCACGCTCACTTTATAATCACAGATTGAAAGTGGAGAAAGGCAGTCAGGATATTGATTCCCAAGAGTTTGTTACGCATGATCATATGGGTTCCTGCTCATGTTCCATCATAAACATGAAGATATTTTTATTTGTCTGGATTACACATTTCCATCTCTAGTACCACCTAAAGTAAATTGATCATTTGCCTGCTACCAATATTCTAGCATATCTTAAAAAGGGTAACATTTGGGTTTATCCTGATTATACATGTAATCAATTTACTTGGTCTTTCTTG